GGGTGTCCCTGAAAGGGAACAGTCTCTGGGGAGACGCCCCTGGACAGACCGAAAGTCCAGAGTCCGCTTCCCCATGGCCCCCCATCATCTTGTGCTCCATCCCTTCACCTGCTCTCTGCCGGACCCATCGGAGGCACGGACGCCAGGCAGGAAGGAACAGAGAAGAGAGAAGTAACGGCAGCAAAGTCACTGTAGCCGCAGAATCGCTGGGAAGGCACAGCCCCAGGGTGCGGGCGCCCTCAGGCTCCCTCCGGCCCCCAGCTCCAGCGCCCGTGCTGCCTCTGAGACACCGTGGCGGACTCTGCTCCGGGCAGGGAAGGAGCTAAGAGTCCAGAAGGGCAAAGGCCTGTGCCTACCACCTCGCCCTCGGCGGTCCTGCCCTCTGCGGTCAGAACGGGGCCCACCGCGCAGTTCACCCCTGCGTGCCCAGCCCTCGAGGCGGAGAAGAGGAAGCTGGGTCTCTCCCGGCGGGAATCGAGGTTTCTCGGAACATGGATGGCAGTTTCTGTCTGAGTCCGCGGTTCTCAACCTGTGGGGCGTTCGACCCCCAAAGGGGTCGCCTAAGACCATTGGACAACACATATTTCCGATGGAGATTCATAACCGGAGCAAAACTACAGTTGTGAAGTAGCAACGAAAATAATTTTAGGGCTGGGGGTCACCACAACATGAGGAACTGTAGTAAAGGGTCGTGACATTAGGAAAGTTGAGAACAACTGGGCTAGATGAACTTGAGCCTCAAAATGCAGCCATGCCAACTTGCATACCGTCACTAACCTCCAAATAGTATCCGCCAGATTTTAGAGTCTCATGACAGCCCCACTACTCAGCTGTAACTCAGGATGGGCAGAAACGGCCTTAGAGACAGACACACGGTGAGCTCAGGGTTCCAGAAACTTCCGCCTCTTCCCTCCTCCTTCCACAGACACTGGGCTTAGCCTTCCCCTCTGCTCAATCCCCCCCAAAATTTAAACCAGAGGATTCTACTTAACCGATCACCTCGAGTTAGTTATGACCATAGCAAACGCTGGTTTAAAGCTTACTTCAGCCAGGTGCGGGTCTAAATACTTCACAGATACTCTCATTAAATCCTCACTCTAACCCTACAGTTATCCCCCTTACAGGCGAGAAACTGAGGCATGAAGAAGGTATGCTCTTTGCTCACGGTCACCCAGCTAATAAGTGCCCGAGCTCAGATCTGAGCCCAGGCACCCTAACCAGCACGCTGCTCCTTCCGCTTGGCCTGGCTCCGGTGATGGAGGGCAATCAGGACACACATAATCCAAAACAGAAAAATCCCAAATGGCTGTGCATGCGAAATGCATCCGATGATTCGTTTGCAACAATGTTTCCTTCTGAACCCTGACGTGCAGAAGCTGGCAGCAGTTTGGTCTAGGTTATCTCCGGGCACAGGAGCAGCACACCCTGGGAGATGGGTTATTCCTAGGGGTGAGCAGGTCCCCGGGGCAGCTGCTCAGCCTGGGCTGGGAGAGCACGGGGCCTGGGGAGAGCCCATCTTCTTGAGAGGGGAAATACTCGCCATCGGCTTAGGGGTTGCGCGGGAAAGGCCGCCCCCGCGACCAGGCCTGCGTGGCTCGGCGGGCTTGGACGGGAGAGGTTTGGTTCGCCACTTCAGGGAGAGCCAGCAAAACCCTCGCCCCAACCCTGACGTCGTCCCTGCCATGTGGGACCCGCCACCAAGAAAAGGGGAGGCAGGTATAAGAGAAAAAAGACCTGTGATGTTTTTTCCTCCTCCTTCCCCCATTATACCCCAAAACCCATATTACCTGTGGTTTCCAGCAAATAAGCAGGTGGGCAAAAACAGAGGTGTGTTGGGGGAGGGGGATGGAGAGTGGGGAAGAGAGAACAAGAGAACATTAAGCTCTTACACTCCAGAAAGTTCAGGAAAATAATGATTCTCCCGGGCCCTGCCTGCTTAGGGGTCTGGCCAGGTGCCTCCGTGGGTTGGCCTGTTGGCCTAATGGGGGCTGTCGGCCCTGTTTCGGGGAGTGGGTGTGGAACGGGTGGGAGGGGGGCTGACCCGAAACCTGGGTCTGAAGCTGTCTTCGTGGTCCAGGTTAGAAGATGGGGAGCTGTGGGACGGGGCTGTGGGATGGGGGTCTGTGGGATGGGGCTGTGGGATGGGGGGCTGTGGGATGGGGCTGTGGGATGGGGGCTGTGGGACGGAGCTGTGGGACAGGGGGGCTATGGGACGGGGGGCTGGGAAGGGGTGGATGGGTTGGGTTAAAAGCTGCCTCTTAAAGGGATCCTGTCACCAACCCCACATACCTGCTTCCTCACCCCTGCATTTGGGCCACATGCACATCTCAGGCTGGGTCCCCAGAACCCTTGGCAACAGGGGCCTGGCTAGTTTCTGCGCCGGTGGAGCCAGGCGCTGGGCCCACCGAGTCACTCGCCACAGACCACAGGGTCAACCAGAAGCCTCCAGGAGGACGGCCTGTGCGAGGGCGAGGCCTGAACCTCCAAGGAGCCAGCCAACCCGATGGCCCAGGAGGGGCCTGTGTGTGCTTCCTTCCCTCCGCACACACGCACCGAGACCCAGGAGAAAGGGGGACACCTGGTCCCCAGCCAGGAGGGTGACAGGGTCCCTTTAGGTCTCAGCCCCTCCCCTGGTGCTCGCCCGCTGATTAACCTGTGTGTTAACCTCGCTTCTGCCTGTTCTCTGCCTCTTTCTCCCCCTTTCTCCTCCCAGAGGTGTCGCAGACCAAGACACGCGAACCCTTTTGTTTCAGGTCTCTGGTGGATGACAGACTCCAGCTCATCCTCCGTCCTTGAGCCCTAGCTTCCCACCATCCCCCCTCCGCCCCCACACCCGAACCATGTTTTATTACTCGCTCTCTAGGCCAGACGCTGACCATCCTGCAGTCTACTCTCCTCCTGTTTCTCTTCTTTCTCTCCCTCGACCCCCCCCCTTGAAATAGCTCTACCCACAAAGATGGTGTTCCTATCTAGAGATAGCCACCCCCCATGTTTTCCAAAATTTAATTTTAAGACACATGCCTATTTATAGTTTGTTTGGGGCCCTCGCCCTTTACCTTCCTCCCTCAGATCGGCCCTCTCCACTGGCCCCCAGAATGACATCTGGGAACCTGGGAGGGAGCCGGCTGTTTCCTGCTCATAACTTCTGATGTAAATGGGAGAAAGAGGTCCCACTCGGCCTCAAAGGGTCTAGCGTGTCCAGAAAAATGACCTGGGAAGCCAACAAGACAGCCATGCATTGAGGCTGACCCTCACCTGACCCGTGCCCTGGCCAACCCCGGCCTGGCTGTCGCAGTCTCACAGTGGCGCTTCTGTTTGCTTTTGGCAGAAAGGCCTGGGAACCGAGAGGCCCCGTTCCCTGTGACCTGACCTCCCCCACTAAGAATAACAGCCTAGGACGGCATGTCTTGCGATCCCTCTGGAAGGGGGCACGGCTGGGAAGTGGGGAAGTTAAGGGAGCTGGGTAGAGCCTAGAGGAAATGGAAGGATGCAGACTCTTGGCTCTTGTGAGTAAAAAATAAAAAGGGAGAGTTGGCAGCCTTCTGGGGAGCTGGGGAGAGAGACCTGGGAACTCTCCGGGGAACTCGAGAGCTCTCGTACCCACTCGCCAGTCTCTAGAAATCCATCTCCCGGCAGCCCCGACCAGTGGCTAGAGAACAGGAAGAGTCTGGCTCTGCTGAGCCAATGTGCTCCTGTCCTCTGCTGTCCCCTTTGCAGACGTTTCTTTAAAAACCGAAGGAGCTGATGTCCTTCTTTAAAGAAGACAAATGTCTTTAGTACTCCACCCACGGGAGATGAGGCTGTGCTGTTTCTAGGGGTTCCTAAACTGGGACCGGATGTCCCACGTGGCCCCAGCGTTGCTCTCTAGCTCCCACACCTCTCGGACAGGCAGATGGCCCACTGTGTGCAGAGCCCACCCACCCAGGACTCCTGGGATCCTCTAGGGAATCTGGGACGGCCTAGCCCTTGGTTGACCAGTTGTCCAAGTGCCTCAAAAAAGTTTTTTTTCAAAAGAGTATGTATCTCTTCCCTTATCTAAGTATGGTGGAGGAAAAAAATTCTATGTGTATAGGGTAAAGTGTTGAAATCCGGACACTGGCCTTCCCCTCTGTGCCAGAAGCTCCATGACATGCCCTCTCCCCAGACTACCCATCATCCAGTGCTCAGGAGAGGCTGTGATAACCTCGTTCACTGTGGTAGCACCTGCATTTTAGTGGGACCCTGTATTAGAATGACAGTGTTGGGGAAGGAGCCGGGGGCAGGTGCTTTGCTTAGGAGATACCCAGAGAGCACTGTCTAGAGCCATATCCTACACTACGCCAGTCCGAGGTCCCCCCGGACTCTCCCAGTCTGAGGTCCCCCGGACTCTGTCTCCTTTCAGTTAGGAAAGCTTTTGCCAGGACAGAGCTTCCCCTAAAAGTACTGGGGCATGTCCAGTGCTGGAACAAGGCGTGGTCCCCTTGTCATTGCTGACCTGGCCACCTGTCTGGACCACACTGCAAGCTACTCTCTAGGTCTCAGATCACCCATAGGTACCACCAACCACTCTCCTCTAAGGGGCCGTCCAGCTGTGTTCCCTCCCTCCCTGCAGACAGGCCCTTCTGACAAGAGAACCGGGGACAAAGGAGATGCTGAGTGCGGACTGCAAAGAGTCCAGCCACACCCCTGCACCGCTGCAGCTCCTGCTGCTGGTCCCCTTCCCCTCCGGCCCTGCTGGGAACTAGAAAGGGCGTCGCGCCGGAGGGCGGGGCCATGGGGCGGATCTGGGGGAAGGGGAACCTGTGGCTCTGGGAAGGCAGGGCAGGAGGATTGGACTGTTCTCTCCCTGGCCACCCCCTTCTCCCCTGGGCTCCTGGGCTCCGGTCACGGAGAGGGTGTTTGGAATTCCAGCAGCAACACTGCGGTGCCCGGACGGTGATTCTGATGCTGATTGTTGCTCTGTTCTTGTCTGTCTAATATTCCTTTTTAATCCCCATCCTGCCTGCCCCTCCCTTATGTAGGGTTACTTTAGTGATCCCTGGAATGTTTTTGACTTCCTCATCGTAATTGGCAGCATAATTGACGTCATTCTCAGTGAAACTAATGTGAGTATGACTGCCCTCCCCAGGAAACCTCTTCCTTCTTCTTCTGCCTCCTCCATTTCCCTCTCTCTCTCTCTCTCTCTGCCTCCTTTTATTTATTTATTTTAATTTCCTGTTTTTACCCCCCTCCAGTCATGCTTTTTATTGAACCTGCGTCGTCCTGTGAGGGAAAAAAAGTGGGAGCTTCTCCTCTTTTTTTCCACTAGTCCCAGCTCGGCCCTCTCTGTGCCGGGCCCGGGAGCTCGGAGCCGAGGGGAGGGAGCCGGCCACGGGAGGCCGCTGGCTCCCCGCCCCGGTGACCGCGGCCCAGCGTGACCTTTGAACTAACCCAGCTTTTGTCAGGCCTCTCCGCCCTGTGAAAACCAGGTTCCCCAGGTTTGAGCCACCAGGACTATAGAGTGGTAAGAGAGTATCTACTATGCCCACGTAACCTCTTTCTTTTCTCATTTTTTTTTTCTCTTCTCTCCTTTCTTTCATGCTTTTTTTTTTGTTGTTGTTTTTTTCATTTTTCCTCTTCCTTTTTGTTTTGTTTCCCTCCTTTGTTGTTGGTTTGTTATTTTTTTCTCTCTCTCCTCTCTCTCCTCTCCTCGGCTTCTCTGCTCCATGCAGCACTATTTCTGTGATGCATGGAATACGTTTGACGCCTTGATTGTTGTGGGTAGCATTGTTGATATAGCAATCACCGAGGTAAACGTAAGTACTGGCGTCTGGGCCTGGCTGTCCCTGCCTGCTCTAACACCCCTTGTCCTTCGCGCTTCATCGTTTTCCTCCGTCCTTCCTCCTCCCCACCTCCTTGGTTTCATTTAGTTGTTTCTATTTGTTTGTTTACATTGGTTTAAAGGACTTTTTTTTCTTGTTGCTTTATTTTGAAAAACAAAAAACAAAAAACTTTTTTTTAACCTTGGAACGAGTTAGGCCTCCCGTCCCTGTGTTGATGGCTGCACCTCTCTCTCCCCCTTCACAACCGGTCTGGCATGACTCCACTGCATAGGAGGCTGCAGCTCTGGGCGTCACGGAGCGAGACGCCCAAGGGTCTTGACAACTGGGCGGCGGCTGGGGCGGGGACCCGCACCCCTTTGCACTCCACCTCCACTGCAGACCTCTGCCTGGCCTCCGCTGGCTCCCCACCCACAGCACCGTGGAAAGGAGCGCTCTCCAAGTGGGGCGCTGGGGTCAGGGCTGGTCTTTGCCGGCACTGTAGCCCAAAGCCTGGCCCATTGCATCCACACTTTGCAAGGGCGCCTCTGATGTAACATCAGCCTGTCCAGGCAGCCCGGCCCCCCAGGCTCGTGTGGGAGAGAGGAGAACCTGTGGTGTTCCGCTTACACCCCTCTTCTCTGCAGTGGCCAAAGAGCCAGGTGGCGGGGTGACCCGCCAAGGGCGAGCCCTCCGAGGCTTCTGCTCCCTCTGGCTGGGGCAGCGGCACCTCCCTCCCACATGAACCTGCCCAGAGGCCTGACTCTCGCACCCCCTGGTTCTCTCCCGTTCCATGCCCTCACACCCGCCCTGGCTCCCTGGCCTCAGGCAGACCCCAGCCCCTGCGCTCCGAGGCCCTGCCGCCTTCCCCAGAGCTGCCTCCTCCTATACAGTTCCTACCAGTCCCTGCACATGTCTTCTGTTACCTGGCATGTTGAAACCTCTCTCTTTATCTGTAGGCAAGCCCTCTGCAGTTAGTTTTTAACCTCTGTTAATTTTTTTTGTCATAGTTTTTCCTTAATTAAGAGACTTGGTAATGTTTGCACAAACCTTTGATGCACTGAACCATGAATAACAGCACGGGACTGACATTGTGTAGTTCTGATCAGAGATGTTTGAAACTACCCTACCAACCACCACCATCTCCCCACGTGTCCCACCACCCCTCTTCCTCAGTATTCTGCTCACCCTCAGATGAACTGACCTGTCCCTCTATTGGCCTGATTCCCTGATTAGAAGCCCCTGTCTGCCCCTCTCCTAGCAGGTGGACCTTGACAGGCTGCATCCTCCCAGACCCTCCCTCAGCACCCTCCCTGCTCACCCTGTAGCTCCAGATTCAGCTGCCCCTCTGTCTCCCAGATCCCCGAGTTGTCTTTGTCTCATGATGTGTGTGTGTGTGTGTGTGTGGTGTGTACACTTGCCCTCGACTTCTTCCAGTAAATTGCAGGTCATGAAAATAAAATCAGCCTCCCTACCGTGCTCGGTGCCCCCTCCCCTCACACCCGCCCCGCTGTTCCTGGGCACACGCCCCGTTTGCAGGCCGGACGGCCCTCAGGTGTGTCTCAGGTGCTGCCCAGGACCACGAGCTGTACATGCCGGAGTGTCTGTGGTCGGAGCAGCGCTCTGGACGGAGGAGGACTCGAGGAGAGGGGCAGGGAGGAGAGCCCCATGGGCCTGCCTGCAGAGGGTGTGGCTGTTCAAACTGCAGTACAGACAGATCCTTATGAGACCTGGGCCAGGGACGTGCAGCCCGCGAGATCGCAGGGAAGTGCAGGCAGGTGACAGCAGGCTGCTCCACACGGGCAGGGGGACCCAGGGCCGTCCCGGGGTCAGGGGTCAAGGCCACATCATCTCTCAACTGCGGTTTTCCCCCAAAGGAAAACAAGGACAGAGCGAGAGGAACTCTTTAGGTTCCACAGGAGAGGGGCTGTGTTGAGGGTGGAGAGGAGGCTATGAGACAGGGAAGGACTCAGCACCGCCACGCAGACCCCCCGTTTCTGTGCGGTTTGCTAGTGACAGTTCCTCACCTTTGCATCTGTCTCTGAACTTCCCTGTGAGCCTGCCAGGCAGGAGTCGTCACCCCAACTCGCGGGTGCTGAAGATGCTGGGGAGAGGCGAAGTGCCCATGGGCATGCCCAGTGGGAGTCCAGGCCTGGGGGGGGCCCACTTACTTCACCTCTCTGTCCGCGATGCCCTTCGATAAACACACACGTCTCACACCTGCCAGGATTCATTCCGCCCTTACGTTCTGTAATTTATATTTAAAGTAACCGTAACTTTTTATATTCTAAACAAAAAATGGCTTATCAGCCCTCCGTGGAGTTGGAGTGCACCTGTCACCAGCCCCCCGCGCCATGTGGAGGTGCTCTTCACTCTGGATTGAGTGAAAAGTTGCACTGAAGTGTTGTCCAGAGATTTCACCCGGGCAGCGCGTGCAATGGAGAACAGGGGACGTGTACAGAGACCGGCCCGTGCCCCTCCCGCACCCGCACCGTGAATGGCTTGCGACCCACAAGGCAAATGTAACAGCCCCAGGCAGGAAAGGGGCGTGGCAGAGGGGGAGGGGCTGGACGTGAAGGCCACTCTGGCAGTTCCTGTGTCTTGCCTCTTCTTCCTCCCGTAAGGAAGGCTTAGTTTCCTCCTCCGTCAGAGGGGTGTGATGATATTTACGGCGCTGTGTCTTGAAGCTGAAGGAAGAGCATCTAGTTTAAAACCCTGTGTAAACTGTAAAGCGCTGCAGAATGGAAGAGACTGTGGCCCCCAAGCAAATGACCTTGTTTCCCAAATCCCTGCTGGAATAGCTGGGGACCTGTCTCTAGCCAATTGTTCTTCATTGTAACGTACCACCCGCAGACACAGTTCGAGCCCTTGTCCCCCAGACATGGTTGGACTCTCGGCGATGGCTGACAGGTGCGGCCAGAGCAGCTTGCTGACCACGGCCCGTAGCCCAAGCCTAGGCCTGCACTCAGATAGCAATCAGTGTTGTGGATGACAAATCAGTGAGCAATAATGCTGAGTGTCAGTGGCCGGCCCCTCTGACCATATGGTTCTGCCTCTGGCCACTACCACTCACGGGTCTCACGTTCCCTGGGGCCGGGCACTGCACAGCTCCAATCTGTTCCCCTGTGTGCCGCTCCAGGCCTTCCAGAATCTTCTGGCCTCACTGTCATCACACGATCCTCATTCCCCGCCCCATGTTCTGTTTGGCGGGAATCTACACTCAGCCTCAGAGGAAGCCACGAGGGCTTTGCACCTGTCCTTCATCCTCTGTGACTCTTAAACCCACAGACATCGGCTCTTGTTCCCCTCACCTGCGTGCCCTATTCATCCTAACTGCCCTCCAGTTCTCACATTTCAGCTCATTTCCCCTTAAATGCCTTCCCTTCCCTCCTTGCCCTTACGAGGCCAGGGCACCCCCCCCTCTGGGAGGTAGATTTCCCACCAATCCCAGGAACCAGTGCTCATCCCGCCACATTGATTGGCTCACCTTCTGTGCGGCAGGTACGATCCTGGGCACCTGGACTGCCTCCGCCCACATAACAAAAGCCCCCTCTCGTGAGCTGGCGTTCTTGGTCAGGGACAGGCAGACAGTGAGTGGTGCCATGAGCACAGACAGTACGGAAATCCCAGTCTGTCTAAAGCTGTAAGTGCTCAAGGAAGAGTACGAGCCTCCGAGGGGCCAAGGAGCAGCCACGGGAGGGGCTGTTCCAAATAAGACGAAGTGAGCAGTTACCCACGTAGACACCTGGGGGCGCTTCTGGGGCAGGAGGAGCAGCCACGGTGGCTGGTGCAGAATGAGCAGGGGAGACAGCAGGGGCTGGGGGTCCCGGAGGGGGACCAGATTTGGGTTTTTATGCCGAGCAGGAAGGGGAGACACGGGTGCCTTTGAGAAGAGGTGTCCCCTGATCTGACCTGCCTTCCTGAAGGACGAGTTGGCCGCGTGTAGGGTCAGGGTGGAGACAGAACAGCATGTAGAAGGGGAAGGCGGCACCACGGGGGAGGACGGTAGCAACGGCCGAGTCTCAGTCTGCCTTGGAAACAGCACGAACAGCACCCCCGGGCAGACTGGACGTGGGGGCGGGAGGACCGTCCAGCACGGCCGTGAGGTGTGGCCTGAGCGGTGGGAGGAAGAGCTGATGGGAACCGCGAAGGACAGGAGGCGGAGCACCCTGGCAGGAGTTGCTCCCTGGGACGTGCACCTCACTTCCCGGTGGGGTGGCAGGTGGATGGTCGGACACAGTCTGAGGTTGGGGCATGGGATCGTCAGCACACAGACGGTACCCAAAGCCATGCGGTGGTGAAGGCCCCCGGGGAGGAAAGGACAACAGGAGAGAGACAGGACCAAGCAGGGCGGGGCCTCCAGCAGGAGAGCGGCGGGGCCCTTCGTGCTCAGAGCCGGTCTGGGGCTCACTTTCTGCCCCTGGAGGTGCCTCAGAACCACTGTGGGCTGTAGCCAGAGGGCGTCGGACGTCCACACCCAGTGCCACTGCGCTGGAGTCTGCTCCCCCCGCCTGCTCCCCTGAGGCATCACCAGTTCTGTCGGGGGCTCCCTTCACCCCCGGAAGGACAGAGCGCAGCATCTTGTCACTCTGAGGAAGCCGCTGGTCTTCCTTTATGTCTTGGGTCTGAATGATATTTTCCAGAGGGAACACCCAGAGCCATAACCCCTGTGGTTGTTAATGGAAGTTCCTGGAGCATCAGAAACTGCTCCCTAACATTCCAGTTGGAATCGACGTGGGTGCCTGGCCGACAGCCCTTCCCAAGACTCTTCCTTATGGTTCTGTACTTTAGAGTCTGTTGTGCAAGAGAGAGCGGAAGGAAGGCCTGGGGTCCTGCAGTGTGGATACAGGGAAACATCCCCAAACCGCAAATCAAGACGCCTGTGCTCTGTCTCCAGCTCCAGCGCGATTAAGCCATGTGACTTAGCCGATCAAGCCCGGCCCCTGGGCCTCAGCTTCCTGGGAGGTAAAGGGGGTGGGGGCAGGTGGAGACAGTCT